AAGAATAGTGAGGAGAAGGTACTTTCTCTTCTAACACAACCATGTTGGGATGTTGTACATGGTCAAGATCACTAGCCATGTGCTGTGGTCGCTCATCCTCTCATTGAAGGGATTCATTCCATCGGTGCTCAAGCCAAACCGTACATTCCTTGGGTCATCGCTGAATTCTTTGTGCTTCTCATCAAACATTTGCCACTGACTACAATCAGCCCGGTGTGCAATCTTATCATCATCCACCTTGCGCTCATCATCCCACCATGTCATGAGTGCAGCTTCTTTAGGGTTTAGGAAGATACATCTCAAGCGGTCGGTCACTGGCAGATACCACATTACCAAGGCAGGAATTCTTCTCTGCTTTGCATCGTTGCCTAATGGAGTGTCCTCTGGGGGCTGAGATTTTTGTACCACCATTTTTCTACCCTTCTTATTCCTCTTTTTCCCCATGGAGGCTTCGTCCCCACCGCAAAGGTCATTGTTCTTGTATCGGTTGGCCTCACACCGGGGACATTTATCCATTGACTTGAACGTTTCGCCATGAAAAAGTATATAGTGGTTGGGGCATGCATGGATTTTTTCAACCCCCATTGTTAATGGACTTATGACCTTCTTCGCTTGGTATGTGTTGGCGGAAACTGAGTTTGGTTGTGGCAGCACCCATGACAGGAGATGCAATAGATCATTGAAACTACAATCTGACTAGCTGTACTTAGCCTTTAGGATGAGCAGCTCAAGCACAAAACGTAGCAATGTCCAATGTGTCGGACAACCCTTTTCAACACCATACACAGTCTCCTTCGATGCTTTTGTCACCCTTTCCAAATTTTCTAGACCTTTCGGGCTATTTAGTAAAATCTCTAGTCCAAGGGCTCAAATCATGTCCTCCAAATCATCTTCGTCCCCGACACGTGCTCCACCATCATTATTGGCACCACCTTCGTCGTTACCATCCCAACCACCAGCATCACCACCTTGTTCATTGCCAAACTCGGAATCCATTCGTGCATCAAGCTCTGCTGAATATTGGGACAAGGATTCTATGGTTTCATCGTCGTATTCGTCCTCATCCTTGTCGTTAACAATAACCATTTTACCATGATGAATCCACACTGTGTAGTCCTCAATAAATCCTCGTATAATCAAATGTGATGTAATGATAGTCACATCTATCCATGCCTACGGTTCTTGTAATCTTTACATAGGCAAATAATTGTATCATTATTCTCTTTCAATGTCGTTGCATGCTTCTTTGCAGCTTCAATAAATTTATCCACCTCTTCATGGAAACCTGCCTTGAACCTTAACGAACCATACATCCAAGAGTTCCCGTACTCTATCTTTTACAACAACAACAAAACAAACATTAAATGACTACTTATTCAAATATATATAAAAATGAAACAAATTAATAATTACTTGAGAATAATTGTATATACTTCAGATATATATGAATATAAATCTAATATAATTACATGAAGCATATAAACACATCATAGTAGAGGAAAATTAATTAATGGCCCATTTATCCATAAATAATTAAAATACATATTTATTGATTACAATAAACAATTTCAAAGACAACAATTAGCAACAATTATACTTTACCCAATATCTTTCATACAAACCCTAGTCCAATTTCATCAAACATAAATTTACAAAAACGAAATTAATAAAAAACCAAACCCTAGATCTAGATCCACATGCACATGAAACATCCATAAAACTAACTAATTGTTAACTAAAATCAAGAAACATGCACCAAATAAGGGTATGATCTTGTTCCCCTCCCTAATTTACCCTAGTACATTTAAAACTTGGGTCTAATTTGCTTCATAAGTAGCTCAAGCACCATAGAAGAGAGAGAAAAACAAAACTCTAATTACTCACTAACCAACCATTAAAACTTCAAAACAAAGTGTGGAATAGCATTTTCTTACCTTCTACAACCTCTCCACCAAAGGATTTGAGACCAAAACCTTGCCCCCTTAGTAGAGCAATTTTTGAGAGGTGCCCAAGGCCTCCCACCTTTCTTTCACGGGTTAGAGTGAGTGACCCGAGGAGGAAGAATGTGTTGCGGCTGTTTTATATGTGGGTCATTTGTAGGGGCGGCTAGTGATTGAGCCGCCCCTACAAATTGGAGCTATATATACGGGGGCATTTGTAGGGGCGGTTCAATCACCAGCCGCCCCTACAAATAGCAATTCTAGGGGCGGCTGGTGATTGAGCCGCCCCTACAAATCAGACCCTTTTTGTAGGAGCGGCTCGTATCACCAGCCACCCTGCTGTACCATTTGTAGGGGCGGTTGGTGTCTGGGCACCCGAGCACGCCACTGTAGGGGCGGCTCTATCACCAACCGTCCCTACAAAAAAAATCAAACCGTTGCTAAAAATCGTTTTTTACGTAGTGGGCGGAGATACCAGATTACCACCACCGGTTTTGAACCGGCAGTGATATCCAAGGCTATCACGGTCGACAGTTAACCCCGGAGGGTCAGTACCGACAGCAATGGAGGTTTCCAAACCGGCAGTGGTGACCTTTTTGTAGTACTGCACATATATACAAATTTTCATACTTAATCGATTTTGAGAAAGATTATGAGAAAGAATGTTCTCCCAACAAACGAACCCTATTGATAATTCATTTAAAATCATATTAATATATGCACCCTATGCCAATAATAATACAATACAACTACACATATAAAACAAATGGTAAATTAATTTATGACAACTAGATAGGATTGTCGAGTCTCATAATCACCACTGAACTTTTAATACTCATGTAATTAACAAGATTCTAGGCAGGAGTATGGGTTGATTAACCAGTCATAAAGAATTAGTTTGCCCAGGAAGGTTCCATCCCTCCGATGCATCTTATAAGCAATGCACGGACCTGTGACTAAAAAACTAATGCCGATGGAGCCCATGGTGAGTTTAAGTCGTTGTCAGCAAGATAGAGGCATATTGTGATCAGCTAGACATAGATAAATAAAGTTATTTCATATTACAAAAAAGATATTGTAGTTATATTATACTAAAGCACGCACCATATCGTCATCCGGCCGGCTGGCCTCTCTCTCTGAACGTGTGTGAACGTGTCAAGCCGTTAACTACGGATCTTGCTATGCAGGGCACTCTTGCATGCATTGTGCGTTCCACGTTCATAGATAAGCTGTCTTACCGTTACTATTTAGAGATCCTCTATGAGCCGTGATGCATCTTTATTGCAAGGTAGGTTTGCAAGCACTTCCCCCTCTCTGAGCCGCGTGATCCTCGTGCCAAGCAAAAGTTTCCTGCCCCCACGTTTAATTATTGTTAGATGGCGCGAAATGCTGGAGCAGAACCATTTGCTAACTCGCTCCACAGCTTGCCATATCAGCAGCGGCACGGCGGCCATGGTCACCGCCACCATCTTTTTTAGAGAAAAGATTTCCCCCTCTTTATTATGCAATTAGAGCTTGTTTGGCTGCTTTCATATCCACCTCAATTCACGTGTGTTGCAGTAGATTGGGGTAGAAATTGGAGACACACCATTTATTGACATGTATTCTAGACACGACTGTAGTGTATGATTAGAGACACGTGTTTATGGAACATGTCTCATATGAGTGGTTCCAAATGGACAGTACGTAGACATAACGTGTATGTGATGACTGCACCTCACATATGCATGCGTTTCGATACAATGTCTGCCGCTATCAAGACAGACGACACGTCCCAATTAAAACGTGCCTGTGAGATAATATGTCATCACAGATGTGTTTAGTACAATGCATCTCTGATGATTAGCGTAGTCATCGGAGACTCATTTTAACTTGACGCGTCTATGATGTAAGAAGTCACCTTAGACACGTGATTTGTAACCCACATCTCTGATGTCTACCTGCATGTATGATGACAGGGGGCAGTGTGGGGCCACAACGAGTAAGAAGGCATTGTGCGCCGCACTGTTCTGACACGCGCTGCACTGCTTTGATACAGGAGCCACCATCACCCCTCGTGATCCTAGCTCTCGATCCGCTGCCAGCCAATCGAGCGGTGTGTTGCCACCATTCATACCATCGTCATCGACCTTGGGACCACACGTGGCAGCGCAGATCTTTGCCCTGCCCCCGCGGGAACTCCTCGACTGCCGGGTGGCTGAACCTCCTTGCTCCTGGCCACCATCACACTCTTTTGCAATTTCTATGCCAAGAGATCGATAGGTACTCTTGTCCTACCCTTCTGCTCTCTCCTTACATGTAGGACAAGCTCATGTTTAATTAACTCAATGCTAGCTAATTCCTCATGGACACGCTTCTACATTTAGGAGCACTCCTCTGCTATCTTGCCAAGATCAACAACCGGCATGGATCATTAATAGAACACATATCTAGCTTATTCTGAAGAAGCCTGCTTAGAGATCAGAGGTAGACATTGTTTATTCATGCTCTCATTTACTATGGATTATTTGCTCATGCTTGAATACTGTTGAATAGTCATTTCTTTCATTTTTTGTTTTTTGAATTATTCTAGAGTATGGAGGATCGGCGGTGGTGTCTTGTGATGACACTTTGATGGTCTTAAATCATTGATAACAGTTGCAGAGGTGGATATGTTGAATCAACACAAAACAACTATGTGTTGTCCATGCTATGATTGTGTGAATGAACAACAGTAGGGCCCCTCGCTAGCGCTTGCGTGCTGCAGCATGTGGCACCATCGAGTGACCAGCCTCTCGGTCGGTGCCCTTAGCCGAAGCACGCATGCATGAGACAAGCCATGCCAGCAACGCTACTCTATTGACTTAGAGCCAAACAATCATTTTGGTTTATATTTAATAAAGAACATCATTATTCCAAGAAAGGGAAAAAGAGAAAAAACATACAGAGCCAACAAGCAATTATACAGATTTATTATTGTTTTAAAAGGATCCTATAAGATCATGGAGCATGGTTGTTTTTAGCATTAAACCGGCTGAGGATTTGACGTGCCCATAATTTTCTGCCTCATTTGGTGATCCCTCATTCCCCAAGCGCAAAGGCAGCGGCATCGAAGGTCCTGGAGAGGCCGTTGCCGGACTTGAAGGTGACCTTCTCCGGCAAGGCCTCTGGGACGAACACCTCATTGATGCTAATCCACAGCATCATCGCGTTCGTCTTGATGCCAGTGACCTTCCTCAGCTTGCTATTCTCGATGAACGCCGTGACCTCGGTGTCGTACGACACCTTCTGCATGATTTTCTTGAAGGTGTGCTCCACCTTCTTTCCCTGCACCAGCCAAATGAAGCCCGAGTCGCGGTTGTACCCGAACTCCTGGATGTCCTCCAGTGGAAGGAGGCCCTTGGGGAGGCCGAGCTCCTCCAGCAGCTCCACGGACTTCTTCCTGCACGTGGCGTCTCCGGTGAAGACCTCTGCACTAGCACGGTGGCACTCCATTGCCTGGGACGCCATTGTTTCTTTGCTATCTGCTTTTACAAATGGAGCTGTGAGTAGCGGGGAATAAAGAGATTGTAGTTGAAAAATGTAGCTGGCAGCTTTTAATAGGGATGAAGTGGTATTGTGTGATGGGAGATGGAGCAACAGCTCATATATATAGGCACGCAGCTTGTACAGACAGAGAAGCAGTGTAAGACGACGTGCACTCTTGTAGGACGACGTGCACTCTTGTATTGACCATATATTTCTTCCCACATCCAGCTGCAATAAATCAATATTTGTAGGGTTAATTTTAGCCACTGAATGCAATTAAAGACCTTCGAAGTAGTATGATTTAGGACCTTCTGCCCATGAAAACGTGTCAATCAAGTTAACTGGTTGTTTAGATATCATTATTTAAAATCTGTTTTTAGAAAATAGGTTTTACCACGAATTTTAGGTTGACTTGTTTTAAGTAGGTATTCTGTTATTTTTTATTTATATATTATGCTTCTCTCTTTAAATCAAATAACTATGAAGATGTGAGATTTATGGCAGGAGAAACAGGCTATGCTTTCCGGTTTCTATAAAAATAAAAACATCTAGCAGCAGTTTCTTGTAAAACTTGGTACTCCGAGTTTACTAGAAACTGTTTTTACTTGTCTCCAAGTTAGTTAAAGAAAACAGACATTGTTTTCCGGATAACAAAACTAAAATGGGATTTAAGGATTCCGGTTTTCACAAAACTTAAGATCCAAACAATCCCTTAATTTGTTAGAGCACGCAGCGGATCTGCCTAACTCGCTAAACCGACGAGCGAGAACCCCACGCTCAGGTTCACTGGAGCCCACAACAAACCAAGGTCTCGGGCCTAACTTAACTCAAAAGACTAGCCTTGCTAGGTGAGGGCTACCCCTACCATATATGTTGTCCTCCCCCATCAATTATCGATGTGGAACTAAACCTGACACTCCATCCCATCACACGTCGAGCTCAACTCTTCATATCACACAATTTTGTGTGATCTCCGGAAGATGTAATCCAGGCTCTAAGTCAAACACCCTCCATGCTACACACAAACCTTGTGATCCTCCAAGAGGTTAACGAGCTCCCCCATCACTATTTGACCCTATGCTTGAAGCAACGCCTCCCGTGATTCACGAATATATTCCTCCAACCTGCTGATCCACGCCGCTTCCTCATCCTTCCTTCTCTGCTGGCTTTTGTAGGTATCTCTGTCGTTAGGGAAACCATGCTCCCAAGAAATGTTCCATCCTAAACCTCTTGTTCGGCCACTGTGTTCAGCAGTCTCGATGGCATACGTCAGTTCATCCTTCTCTCTATTGGGCCTGAACACACCAATAGCTTTAGCTTGTAGAGCATAAGAAAGTCTTTGTGTTGCTCTTTCGAGTTTTGAGCCATGAACCAGCTTTCCGGTCTCTAGGTCCAGTCTTCCCCCATGAGCGAAAAACCAATTCTTCGTGCGTTTGGGCCAATTAAGTGATTCTGGTGTGATACCCTTGGCAATAATGTCCACTTCCATTTTTTCCCACTTGGGAATGGCAGTCGTGTAGCCACCTGATCCCATGCCATGGTGGTATACCTTATGTCGGGCATTCTCTTGGTTCCTTCTCACCCGTTCCTCATCCTCTTCCAATGTCTTGTACTATACAAAATCATTCCAGTAGAGCCTCAACTTCGTGAGCGGGCCCCTAGTATTGAAATTGGGCATTAGGTTCTTCTTGACGTATTTCATGTATAGGGATTTCTTCCAAGTCTGGAATTGTGTGGCCATCTTCTTCATAGCCCACTTTCGAACTAGCTCCTTCAATTCATCATCATTGATATCATCATAATCGTCCGCTTGCAACATGAAATGTTGAAGGATATCATCCCAAATTAAATTCTTATCAAGATCAGAGACAAATAGTTGTCAAGGTCGGGAATAAAGTCAACACAAAACTCAATGACCTCCTCTATTCCATAGCCCTTGGCGATGCTTCCTTCTAGCCGAGCATGGTTGTGAACATATTTCTTTAGGACTCCCATGAACCTCTCAAAGGGGAACATGTTGTGCAGGAACACAGGACCGAGAATGCTAATCTCCTTGACTAGGTGAACTAGGAGGTGTGTCATGATATTAAAGAAGGAAGGAGGGAACACCAATTCAAAGCTGACAAGACATTGAAGCACATCATTCTGTAGTTTAGTTGGATCCATTGGATCGATTGCCTTCTGAGAAATTGCATTGAGGAATGCACATAGCTTCACGGTGGCTAGACGTACACTTGGAGGTATAATTCCTCTTAATGCAACTAGAAGCAATTGTGTCATGAGCATGTGGCAGTCATGGGACTTTAAGTTTAGGAATTTCTTCTCTGGCACATTTATTATACCCTTTATATTCGAGGAGAATCCAGATGGTACCTTGATGCTTGCTAGGCATTCAAACATGCTTTCCTTCTCTTTTTTGCTAAGAGTGTAGCTGGCAGGACTTAAGTAATGGCGTCCATCATCTGTCTTCTCTGGATGTAGGTTGTCTTGTTCTTTCAAACACCACAGGTCATGTCGTGCTTCAAGTGTGTCCTTAGGCTTCCCATACATAGCCATGAAGCCGAGCAGGTTCGCACAAAGATTCTTCATCAGGTGCATCATGTCGATCACACTACATACCTCTAGGACTTGCCAATAGGGTAGCTCCCAAAATATGGACTTCTTCTTCCACATGGGTGCGTGACTGTCGGCATCATTCAGAACAGATTCACTGCCATGTGCCTTTCCAAATACTACTTTCACATCATTAACCATATTGAGTACATCCTCACCAGTTCGGTTGCCCGGCTTGGTCTGATGGTCTGCCTTACCTTTAAAATGCTTGCCTTTCAGTCTTAGGGGGTGCTTCGCAGGAAGAAATCGACGATGGCCAAGGTACATGACCTTTCGACATTTTTTCCAGAATATACCTTTAATGTCATCGAAATAGTGCGTGCATGTATTATATCCCTTGTTTGATTGTCCTAAAAGATTACTTAGAGTAGGCCAATCATTGATTGTTACGAACAACAATGCTCGTAGGTCAAAGTGCTCCTGTTTGTGCTCATCCCACACACGTACACCTGGTCTGTTCCACAAAAGTAGAAGTTCTTCAACTAGTGGCCTCAGGTACACATCGATGTCGTTGCCAGGTTGCCTTGGGCCTTGGATGAGCACTGGCATCATAATAAACTTACGCTTCATGCATAACCAGGGAGGAAGGTTGTAGATACATAGAGTAACAGGCCAAGTGCTATGACTACTGCTCTGCTCCCCGAAAGGATTCATACCATCCGTACTTAAAGCAAACCTTAAGTTTCTTGCGTCATTTGCAAACTCCAGGAATTCTCTATTGATTGCTCTCCACTAGGACCCATCAGCAGGGTGTCTCAACATATTGTCTACCTTACGGTCTTCTTTATGCCATCGCAACAACTTTGCATGGTCTTTGTTTCTAAACATACATTTTAAGCGTGGTATTATAGGAGCATACCACATAATCTTGGCAAGGATTTTCTTCGTGGGACGTTCGCCATCAACATCACCAGGGTCATCTCGCCTGATCTTATACCGCGATGCATGACATATCGGGCATGCATCTAACTTCTCATACTCCTCGCCATGATAGAGGATGCAGTCATTTGGACATGCATGTATCTTCTGGATTTCTAATCCCAAAGGGTAGATTACCTATTTTGATTCATACGTAGTGACGGGCAATTCGTTATCCTTTGGAAGCATCTTCTTTTGGATTTTCAGTAACTCTCCAAATCCCTTGTCAGATACACCATTCTTTGCCTTCCATTGCAGCAATTCCAGCATGGTACCCAACTTTTTCTGCCCCGCATCACAAGTTGGGTATAGCAATTTCTTGTGATCCTCTAGCATGTGCTCGAACTTGTTCTTCTCCTTTTCACTTTCGCATTCTCTTTGTGCGCGTCACGAATGGCCTGACCAAGATCATCAGCGGGTTCATCTTCTGCCACTACCTCTTCTTCAGCTTCCCCCATTGCCGTATCATTGAAGGCACCATATCCAGCAATAATGTCATCATCATCCCATTGTTCTTCTTCACCTTCTTCTATTACAACCCCATTTTCTCTGTGCTTCGTCCAACAAATATAGTTTGGCATAAAACCCGACTTCAACAAGTGTGAATGAAGACTCCTTGAGCTAGCATATTCCTTCAAATTTTTACATATGGCACATGGGCAGCACATGAAACCATCATGTTTATTTGCCTCGGCCACACGTAAGAAAGAATGCACGCCCTCAATGAACTCTTGGGAGCGGCGATCAACATTGTACATCCAATGCCGGCTCATCTGCATTACATGATATACATACCATATTAAAACCTAGAACATAATTAGTTAATTATACGACATGCATGCCACCACACAAGGTATTAATTGATGAAAGTCTCGCTACAATGTAGATAATCCCAACTACCAGTAAAAAAACTAAAGCTAAAATGCACTTCAGCAGCATAAGGATTTCATGATCAATCCCAACTAAAACAGACAGATCATGCGTTTGTTCAACATCTATGGGCTTCTTCCGTAGGATCACTGCCTCATCAGCCGCCGTAGCCGCCTATGCAAGAGATTTTTCACGTGTTCAACATACTCTTCCTCTTAGTACCAGCCTGAACATCCAGTGCCATCCCACTGAAATTAAAACAAAAAATTAGAACTTTAATCACAATCATCATGAAAATAAGTATAAATTAACCATAATCATCAAATGCGACAAAATAACTCACATTATGATCCAGACACTTGTAGAAGATACGGCCCTTGTTGGGACACTCCTTCCTCACCCGGTACTCCATCATAATCTTCTCCTCACACTTGCCGCATGCAATAAGAGGGAGGTCTGGCCTCAGTCGCTTTGGAACCCGATGAGAGGCTGAGGACCCGGAAGCAGTTGTCATCTACTCTCTATACTCATTTTTAATATAATATAAATTTCTCATTTTATAAACAAATAAAATTAAAAAA